AGTTAAGAGAAGGGAAAACGGAAACTTTAGTATATCCATATTCAGGAAGAAAACCCACTCAAATAAATATTTAGACTTCAAGTCATCACACTCCATCAGCGCAAAGATTTCATTTGTTTCAAGTCTTCTTAGACGAGCACACTCTCTGATAACCGACGAGAAAGAAAAAGAAGAAGAAATATCAAACATTACTGAAACTCCCAAGCAAAACAACTACCCATGGAACTTCATCAACAAATCAATACAGACATTAAGTATGGCCGAAAACGCATTCCGAAAACATGGACATCAACAGTCGTCATTCCATATAGAGCAGAGACGTCAGACGATATCAGAAGAGTACTCAATCAGCTCGACATTAGAGTTTTCTTCAAAACATCAGACACACTTCAAAGCAACCTTATCCAAATAAAAGACCAAATCCCTAAAGACTCTCTGTCTAATTGTATCTATAAAATAAAATGCTTGGACTATGGTGCGATATACATCGGACAAACATGTCGAGAAATCAAAATCAGAAGAAATGAACACCGTAGAGCATCTCTTCGACCACCGAGAAATCCTGTTGAACTACAAAGACTTGAAAAATCATCAGCCATAGGTCTACATGCTCTAGAATGAGGCCACAAAATGGATTTTGACAATGTTGAAATAATCCAGAAAAACTTCAGAAATCACAAAGAACGTCTAATATCAGAAGCACTTCATATCAAGTGGAATCGAAATTGCCTCAATAGGAATGATGGACTAAAACAGAATCTGACCTGGTTACAACACCTCCCTCCACCCATCAAGTGACAAAACCAATACGAATGTGATAAGCACTTTCATTATGTGTGTGTTTACACGCTGCTTTTATAATCTTATACACTTATCAAATCCAACAATCTACACATGATGGTTTTGTCATCTTTACCAATTCACCAACTTGACAACTAAAAGTGCCCCCAGACAGACGAACGATGATCAAGTTAGTAAACTTTATTTCGATATCATAACAGACATACTATTACCTTTGTAATTTGGTTTACTGATCTTCATCGCTATTTTTACTTTCAATATGTCCCTTTAACTTGACCTATGTCTATTTCTCACCCCCTAACTGTTTGTTATATATATGCTGAGATTTTGTAAATTCCGGTTTAATAATACTTTGATAAAGCTATTACCATTAAATAGCGAAACGTCAGTAAAAACAATATCGTTTTGTTTTTCATTCATTGGGAAATACAAAAACCTTTATTATAATGAATATCATATACCCAATGCCCAAATTTTTTCAAACCGTTAGAAGTGAACTTGGTTTGGACATATATAATTTGAAGAAAAGTCCCTTAAATGCTCGAATAACACTTTCTTGATTTATTCATGCTTATTGTGATGAACATATCATGTTTTAATCAGTACTCTAGTTGTAATTCAGTCAGCCACTGCCATTCACCTACACCTTTTCCAATATAGAACTCTCTGGACGTCTTGATGACAATAAAATGCGCGCTTCTGTTTTTTCTAAACAACTTTTACATTAACCAAGAATAATAAGTTATCCAAAAAATGTTATTTGCCTAGATTTTACCTGTTTTGAATTAATTCCAATAATAATAATAACAACTTTATTTTGTACAAAGTCTACATACTGTAGAAACTTTTCAGTATCGTCTATTGCATGATATTTCCCCTTCATCCAGAATCTCCAAGTACGATATATCACGTGACAGTGGACCATCTGAAACACTTCTGCCTGGTGCAAAGCGTAAACCAAGAAATTATGATGTCTCTTCTTCTTTGGCTTCTTCGGCAAATGTGTGTAATTCGGTTGAATAGCAATTTGGTAACGTTTAGGAATCCATTCTGTGAACCACGGAGACAAACCATACACAGTTATCCCTTGGATTGAAATGCGCCCTGACCCACGACTATATATTTTTTCTCAGGATAACTAGAAACTTGTGAATCAGCAAGTTGTAAACACAATAAATATTCGCCAGAGTATAAAACGTAGTTAAAGGCCAGATTTTATCAGATTTAAACTAACTGAACGGGAGAATGAGTATCTGTGAAATATTGATGGGATTTTCCGACAGCCCAAAATTCAGCAAGCCACCTGTCAACCTGCGACCATGATAATTTTTAAGCAGTGAGATATTTATGCACTCGGATGGAATTATTATTTATTTTATTTATTTATTTTGATTTACAGCTTGATGCCACACCGTATTTTCAGTACAAGTATGGAATTTTCAGCATGGATATCGGTAGCCCAAATTTTGCAGGCCGACCATAGATATCGGGTGTGCGTCGGCAGGGGATTGAACCCCGGACCATGTGTATGATCGGCGAGAGTCCTAACCACTGTGCCACCGAAATTAATGGACTTATAAAAGCAAAAATGTTCAGGAAATGACATCACAATTTTCAATAAACTTCTTCAAAACTGTTTATGCTGTAATTGTTGAGTAATATATTTCACTTTGTATCTTCATAGTTATCGATTTCAGTATGATGCTGGTTAAATTCGCTGTGAAATTGCGTGACCTATGCTACTTGCTACTTATTTTGTTATGTAAGATATTTGTGAAAGAGAGATGTTTTTATCCCTTGAGATATTGCTTCTTTGAATCTGAAGAAGACAAGCAATGGACGAAATCTGCAATACAATAAAAAGGACATTTTGACATATATCTGCTGCTCTAGAACGTTGAATAAAATACAAACGTGTTCAAATAATTATTAATACTAACGCGTATGTGTTGCTTTTGGAGAGGCGAAACTTACTCGAGATTAGAAAAGTGCAATATTCAACGAGTGATCCAGAGGATTCCATCGACAAATTCGTTGAATGAAATACAGACTGGATTATTCATATCCAGCAGTGTTGAAAGATAACTAACTGATGCAGCTGTTTCGGTATGAGTGGATCGAATTATTATTATCTGTGCAATATCTGAACACCACAGTGTCAAGATTATTTCTTGTCTGTTTATTGCACGGATCATACAGTGAGACAGCATTGTTCACTAGATGACATATCAGACACGGTTTTGAAATAATAGAGAAGATTTGTAGCTCAGGTGGATGATTTGCAATTAAAGGTGTTCTCTGAGCTGGTTGGTTTAGTTGCGAAGCTTTCGTCGTCCTTCTGGGCGACATCTTCAGCGCCCAGAAGGACGACGAAAGCTTCGCAACTAAACCAACCAGCTCAGAGAACACCTTTAATTGCAAGACACAGTTTATTTTCCATAATTCCAGTGTATCTGCTTATTAGGCGATCTCATGTAGCCCATTAGACAGAATACTTTGGTTAATCTAAAACTGCGTAGTGAGTACGGAGTAAAATACAGATTTCAATTATGGGATCACACATAGAGAAGACAGAGGTGATGAAGATTCCTGGGCAACACCACCAACAGCAACAACAACAACAGACAACAATCAGCATAATTGGGAGGAACCTGAAAGAAACAACCTACTTCACCTACCTACCTGGGAAGCATCGTTTCAACTACAGGCGCATGAAACTGACGAGGATATCAAAGCAAGATTCGGAAAAGCAAGACAAGCTTTCACTACTCTCAAGCCTCTGTGGAGGTCAACAGCACTCAGCATCAAAAATAAGATCCGGATTTTCAACTCCAATGTGAAGTCAGTCAGTGCTACTATACGGATCAGAGACTTGCACTGCGCGTCATAAAGAGCATCTCAAATAAAATTCAGACCTTCATTAACAGTTTTCTTCGCTCAATACTCAAGATCAGATGGCCGGCCAGGAAAGATCAGCAACAGAGTTCTCTGGGAGCGAACCAACCAGGAACCGATTGTGAAACAAATAGGCAGGAAGAAATGGAGATGGATTGGCCATACTCTGAGGAAACCATCAAGTGACATCACTGGACAAGCCATTGCTCGAGTGGAACCCGAAGGGAAGCGGCGAGTTGGTCGTCAGTGCAAGGGTGACTTGGAGGGAGTCATGTGAAGACGAGATGAATGCATGTGGGCAGACATGGAGCCAGGTGAAGACTCTTGCAGAGAACCGAACACAATGGAGACGCACGGCTGAAGCCCTATGTTCCTCTAGGAATTAAAGAATACAATAATATACACTGTATACACAGGAGGAGATATGGATCATGGAGACTCTGTCAATCAAGCCAGCTAAGACAACATGTGACAGGAATGATTCAAAACCTCTTCTGAACATCCAGAAAAACCTACTCCTCATATGACAAGAAGCAGAGAATCTTGGAGAAATCATTAGTCATTGAGGCACCTAAGACGACACAGCAAACAGAAGGGACAACCGTAAAAATCGATACAAAATACAGAGAAACAGAATGAAGGCAAACAAAGTATCACTGATGCACCATCAGTGGTAGCGATAACAACAGAACAAGAGACGCATACAGCAATAGTGGAGAAAAACTCCAAGAAAGAGGATGTAATTAAGTCAGAAAAAGCAAATTTGACATACGTCTCAAATGAAAAGTTATGCTCCGAGAAGGACAAAGAAGAGACACCCGAGAAATCACAGGTGACAGTTGAAAAACTCTTTCTGTGTGTGTGTACGTCAGTTATCTGAATTTTATGAAGCAATAATAGACATTGGATGTTATTTTCTATTGTTAACCTTTTTGTTTATGTGAAGGTAAAAAAACAAAGACTTAATTTCAATATACATACACCATTGTTATAATCCTGAAAACATTCCATTGAACAAATTCACCATTATTCACCAGATTATTGATTAATTTAATTGAGGTGATATACTCTTGTTTTTCAGTTGATTACACCAGAGAGAAATTATTCTAGTTGAGAGTAAGTACACAGAAGGGTGAGAAGTATCTCTCTAGTGAAAGATATATTAATCTACTTTTTTCATCACATGGTACATAGTAAAGAAAGATCCAATCTGAAGAATTTCACTTTTTATACGATAGACATACGTGAATGAATATCCGCTAATATAAACTGCTAGCGCTAACCGATAAACATTGGTGGTTATATTACATAGTGCTAAAGGGTTAATACTACTTATTTTTTTTTAAAAAAAAGTAATTTTATCAACGGATAATCATCTACACTAGGTAATTCAAGGTAAAAATTTATATTATTTAACAATAATTAAATAGTTTGTGTATCTTATTTGTATTTAACCCTTTTTGTTCTGTTGAGTAGTAGTTAAATGCTTGCTAGTATGTATCACAGTTATATATGTCCAAACCAAGTTCACTTTTAACGGTTTGAAAACATTTAGGCATTGGGTGTATATGATATTCATTATAATAAAGATTTTTGTATTTCCCAATGAATGAGAAACAAAACGATATTGTTTTTACTGACGTTTCGCTATTTAATGCTGATAGCTTTATCAAAGTATTATTAAACCGGAATTTACAAAATCTCAGCATATATATAACAAACAAATAAAGTATAATTATATTTCAAACAATTCCAACAGTGGTGTGAACACGGGCAGTAATTTTGCTCGAAATATTACCAATAACAAAACTTATCATTGTGTGTAAACTATTGAAATATAATTATACTTTATTTGATCTAATCCACAATGCTCAAACTTTTTACTGGTATTAATATAACAAACAGTTAGGGGGTGAGAAAATAGACTTAGGTCAAGATTAAGGGGACATTTTGAAAGTAAAAATAGCAATGAAGATAATTAAACCAAATTACAAAGTTAATAGTATGTCTGTTTTAGGAATGATGGGCTAAAACAGAATCTGACCTGGTTACAACACCTCCCTCCCCCCATCAAGTGACAAAACCAACACGAATGTGATAAGCACTTTCATTATGTAAACACACGCTGCTTTTATAATCTTATACACTTATCAATTCCAACAATCTACACATGATGGTTTTGTTATCTTTACCAATTCACCAACTTGACAACTAAAAATGCCCCCAGACAGACGAACGATGATCAAGTTAGTAAACTCTATTTTGATATCATAACAGAGATAGTATTACCTTTGTAATTTGGTTTAGTTATCTTCATTGCTATTTTTACTTTCAAAATGTCCCCTTAATCTTGACCTAAGTCTATTTTCTCACCCCCTAACTGTTTGTTATATATATGCTGAGATTTTGTAAATTCCGGTTTAATAATACTTTGATAAAGCTATTACCATTAAATAGCGAAACGTCAGTAAAAACAATATTGTTTTGTTTTTCATTCATTGGGAAATACAAAAACCTTTGTTATGTATCACAGTTGTTGAAAATTCAACGGAGACCTTTGATCGTGTACTTTTTTGCACCTGAATCGCCCATGCATTGAACCATGGATAAGATAAGCATACCACCATTGAAATACCCAGCTGAAATCTAACTGTTTGTGATTCTGGCTTCCTCTTTAAATCTGAAATACTAAAAATAATATTATTCCTAAACAGGGTCATTTTGTTTTGTGCTGTTGTCTTCACAGCCAACACAATATACACCACTGGTTAAGTCTATTGTGAGAATGCAGGGAAATCCATCTGAAATGTAACACCACTTATGCGCAGTGCAATGATATCCAGTTGGATAATTTGTGAGCAGCGTAAAGATATCATAATACTTCCTATGATATATTGATGACGCGTTGTCTGGAAAACACTGTTGGTAGGTCGTGGAAGCCAGAGGCATTTATGCATAAGATATGGTCGCACAGCTGTGAAGTGGCGTTTACTTCGCATACTTCTTGATCTAAACTAGACGACATTCACGATGCGACAGTGAACTCCATACATGAGCATGTTAGTTGGTTTAAGTATAGTCGGTGACGTATTTAGCAATAGGCTGGTGTAGATTTATTCGTTATACAGTAGTTTTTCTGACTAGCCTTTGGTCTACTAAATCCGTATTGACTTTGAATTGATAAAATTAAATACTTAGAGAATTCTGTACACAATCTTCAGATAAAATGCCAATGAAAAGGATGTCATATCCAGTGATCGTAATATTCATACTTCATTTGTCGACGATTAAATCGAAACAAGGCGGTAATTCTTCTTCAGTTGAACAACCACCAACCAATCAAACCACCAAAGAAAGAAATACCACAGGAATGACAGACGAAATCTCGACTCCCTCCACAAATTACTCTTCTTCTACGGATGCCTTTGTTTCTACCACTCAGCCGGTGAATAACGGTAGGCCTTCATTTTTGTCAGAATACGCGTTTCATATCAAAACTAACTATCACACTTCTCTGTTGTTTCCACTTGAAAGGAATAAGATGCTAGGAAGATGAAATACATAGTGCAGTAACTGATCCACTAAAAAAAGAATCGAAAGATCCACTTAGATGGCTGAAGTGTTTGAAACAATATCTAAAGAGGGTGGTTTGAATGAGAATGCAAGTGAATTGCACTATCCTATGAAGAGCAATTGTCAGCAACATCACTAGGCCTTCGTATTCGCTCACTGATATTTATTCGACAGGGTTACTGACATTATCAGTAACTATCAATTCCACGTACACCCTAAGGCATGTTTATTTGTTACATTGATATTCAAGTATTGGTTTTGTAGGGATTTTGTTTGATTGCATGGAGGATTTCATCATGAGCTGACATCAGTTAGAGAACCACTGGAAAACCTGGGAGTACTGGACAGATGTTTCTCCTTCTTCCACTTACGTCTTGTTCGTTTGTAAGTGAAACAACAGATTTTTAATAGACGCCGAAGTGGAAAGCCTAGATCTTGTTGTATCACATCAGTAAAGAATCCTAGTTCTACTGAGGTTATTCTGTTTGGTATCACCAATATGACAGATAATTGATGTACTGGAGTGTCCACGTTTGGCCTGGAAAATGACTGTAGTCACTTGAGACTAAGTGTCTCGTTATCTATCTGTTAATCTCTGCTTCACTGGAGTGCTTGGTCTTTAAAGATCTCTTTGTCGCCTCCAACTATGACCGCTGAAAGATAAAAGCATTCTACGAATTCCACTCGTAATAGTAATTGTATGTGGGAGTCGAGATCAAGGATGACGTTGAGTTTCGTCCAACTGGCAGTGGAGTTTTGAAAATCCCATATGACACTGAGACTCTGCAATGGTTATGAATAACCCTACAGTTATTTTTTAAATAAGGCATTAGGGAAAAGGTAAAATATAATGCGAGATCATATCATTTCGTGGCTTGTTTACGATCGTTTTACAACTAGCTTGGTTCACAATAATACAATAAAATGTCTGACGATTAACCGGCTTTTGGTGTGGTTGTGTTCTCTGAGCTGGATGGTTCGGTTGCGAAGCTTTCATTGCTCTACTGAGCAACATCTTCAGCGCATACTTCGATGTGAAGTGGGCTTTTAGAATTCTCTATGAGTTTATTAGTCATCTTTTCTAGTAACCTTGGACGTGATTGGTTGTTTTCGTGTGAGATTTCATCCCCTAGTTTGCTTGTCTCGGTGCTGGCTGCTTCTAGCTGTCAAAAGACACGACATACACTCCCTCATATCACTACATGCAGACAACCACGGGCACCAATTCGACTGGGACAATGTTCAAATCTTAGACAAAGGGAACTGCAAAAATGCCAGAGAATTCCTAGAGGCCTGGTATTCAAATGAATCAGCAATCAATAGACACATAGAGATTGACTAAATATACCAATCCATACGAAGAAATTCACACAAAAACAAAGTCAAACTTCAGGTCAAGGAAACAGTCAACACCAAAACAAGTGAACTAGAAAGTGAGAAGTCACAAAAAAACAGCCAATCACGTTCAAGGTTAGCAGAAGGAATGACTAACGACATTCAGACCAAAGAAGCAGCCAGCACCGAGACAAGCAAACTAGGGGGTGAAATGTCACACGAAAACAACCAATCACGTTCAAGGTTACTAGAAAAGATGACTAATAAACTCATAGAGAATTCTAAAAGCCCACTTCACATCGAAGTATGCGCTGAAGATGTTGCTCAGTAGAGCAATGAAAGCTTCGCAACCAAACCATCCAGCTCAGAGAACACAACCACACCAAAATCATCCACCTGAGCTACAAATCTTCTCTATTATATCTAGATTAACCGGCTATATAAAAGAGTGCAAACTAATAACGAGTCATGCATGTTCTGGTTGGTCGAGTAGTCCATGGTAGGCGAACGTTTATGTTTACAGTTCACTGTACACATAGTTTGTGATGTATGCGATTAATTTAAAGTGCTCCTACCACCTCTAATAACCTTAGATTAAAGGTATATGAAATAACTGAGAAACAGTCATCAGTATTGATTTGGTGACCTGATATTAATCAATGCTTTACAATGGATGATGCTGGATTTGTATTCATACCAAATTCATTTAAATTTTCTGTGTCACCTGATAACTATTTAGTAACATGTTCTTTCTGACGACACTGGGACACTATTTATTCTAACTATTAATGTTCCACTGCGGTCTTTATTGATGGACACAGAAACTGAAAATGTTCGAGATGTACGGAAGACTGATGTGGCGTAGAATGTGTGCTGTATAGCTGATAGGAGCCTCCAGTTGCCATAAGTTGCATGATTTCATCATGGCAGTTTACGAAGGATTGCTCTCCTTGGTATGGGAGCTGCCTCAACAAGAGGTAGTCTCTCTTGATTCTGATAAACAATGAAGTCTTCAGAACACGCATTAGACAACAAAGCTGAGTGTGTACAGCGTACCTCAACCATAGACACATCGCTTTTGCAAAAACCTATGCACTTAGTTGGTTCATTCGGTGTGTGTGTGTGTGTGTTATTGGCTGATTTCTTTGGCTCATGTGTCATTTCGTCGCTAAACAGATGAAGCAGTGGTTTTTCTGCTACTGAAAAGGTTGATGAGTGAAATTAGCCTTCAGACACATTGACAATAAGTTTAACCAACCTACATAATATATATGTTCGAAACAAAGTTCACTTTTAACTGTTTCAGAAAAATTTGGGCATTGGGTATATGATATTCATTATGATGGAGGTGTTTTTGTCGAAAACGTATTACGGAAAAGTGGGTTTCAACTGTTGTCATTCCATATGGAGCAGAGATATTAGACGTTATTGGAAGAGTACTTAATAAGGATGACATCAGAGTCCTCTTCAAAACATCAGACACAATAGAAAGCAAGTTTTTGCATATAAAAGACCAAATCCCTAAGGATTCTATATGCAATTGTGTCTATAAAATTAAATGCTCGGAATGTGATGCAATATACACCGGGCAAACATCACCAGAGAGGAATAAAAATCACAAGAAATGAAAACCGTAGACCTGACTCTGTTCGACCACCGAGAAATCCAGATAGTGAACTAGAAAAGCTTGAAAAATCATCACGAATAGGTGCTCTACACGCTATAGAATCAAGTCACAAAATTAATTTTGACAATATTGAAATAATCCACAAAAATTTCAGAAATCACAAAGAAGCACTTCATATGAAGTGGAATCCAAACTGTCTCGTGAATAGGAACGATGATGGACTAAAACAGAATTTCACCTGGTTACAACACTACAGCAATTCACACTGGATGACAAAATCAACGCGAAAATATGATAAGCAATTTCATTATGTAAACACGTGCTGCTTTAATAATTTTACACACTTATCAAATCCAACAATGTACACCTGGTTTTGTTGTCTTTACCAGGTGGCCAATTTGACAAATTAAAAAATCACCCCGTGCTGAGGAAGAATGACTGAGTTGTTATATATAAGCTGAGATTTTGTAAATTCTGGTTTAATAATACTTTGATAAAGCTATTAGCAGCAGCATTAAATAGCGAAATGTCAGTAAAAACAACAATATCGTTTTGTTTTTCATTCTTTGGGAAATACAAAAAACCTTCATTATAATAAACCTACACAATATTTGAATGGACTGAGGGTGTTAACAGTCGTTAGGACCATCGGTGTGCCCGTAATTCCTGTTTCGTGTACTTCTCGCTAGTTGTAAAACTTTTGTAGGACTGATGCATTCGTCCTTATTCATCAATGTTCCTTACTTACTACATGACTGGCGCTTATTATATGTCAACTACCACCTGTAAGGCGTTCATCACAAAAAGTTTAAAAACATCTCCGACTAATTATTTTATTCAGATTCAACAATCAGAGAAGGTCACATATGGGAACGGGATAGAGAAACACACACAAAAGTGTCTCTCTTGATTGAATTAGACACCTTTTCATATTAGCTGTATCGTGTCAGTTTACTAAAACAAATTATGCTGCTAAATAATATAACTGGTAGTTGAAATTATGCTCCAGTGAATCAAACAATTCTGATTTGAATGCAGGGGAACTCCTTCTTTCTCATAGCTCCTTCGACAACTTCTTCTAATTCAACACTGGCCTGGATTTCAGAATCACCTTGGATCATCGACACCATCTGTTAATCCTATGCAGTGGAACACAGTGATTCACAAATCTATTTCCTCATCCTGTTCCCTATGATTGTGTAGTTATAACACGGGCAACCGGCCTTCTTACTCCCCTTAATGAGGCACATATAATATAATCGACTGTAATGTACGCTGAAAAGTGTGCGTAGTTGCTAATATCCTGAAAATGATTTGATCTATTATACCATTTACTCGTCTGAACTTGCAAGCATGTTGTTACTGGTTACGCTGATCCTGTCTGTCCTGAGATAATCTGATGGTAATTTGCCCCCAGTGAATACTGAGCTGAACATAAATAGGATTTTGCAAAACGCCTTCTGTGAACAAACATGCGTATTTATTATTTTTCCACAAAACATAACCTCCAGCCTATCCGATTCAGGCATACATACACACATGCATATGAGTAGAAACTTAACGTGAAACAGTTCCAGATAAGATGTCAGTCAGGGGAAAACACTCGTTGACCCAAATAATTGACTACTGCTAAGAAATAAATCTCACGAGTTAGATTTTAACACGAGTGATCTTTTAAGAAACTCCTATGAAAATGAATTAATGAATGCAATCTGAATAAGCTCGGAAACACTGAGCTACTGGTTTCCGGCACCGTACACACTGAATCATGTGGTTGTACGTTTCCAATTCTTTTATACGAACCATTTATTCTTTGGAATCCGTTGACAGTTTTTTTATGTCAATTACATGTGGGCAGAAATTTTCTATTTGACTTCACGCACATCACCGTGTTTTGCATTTTTCAAATGTATTCTTTCATTACCACAGTTACGCAAGCAATAAATGTGACGAGTGGAAAAGAAGAACCTAAGGAGACAAATGTGACAGTCACCGAGGTCCCTAAGACGACACAGGAAACAGAAGTGACAACAGTTGAACGAATACCAGAGGGAATAACAGCCGAAACTCAAAGTGCAGGGGAAGAGGATGAAAACACACAAAGTACCACTGATGCAGCAGCAGTAACGACAACAACAGAACAAGAGACGCACACACCAACAGTGGAGACAAACTTCGAGACAGAGGATGCAGGGACACATGTGTATATAAATACGTCAGTGGTGTCGTCAGAAGCGGTGAATCTGACATCCTCATCAAGTAAAAAGTCAAGCTCCGAGAAGGAAAACGACGATGATGGTGAAGAAGAGACCACTGAGAAATCACAGATAGTAACAACGTCTACAGAAACACATCCACGTCCAATCAAAGCTAGTGAGTTTTGCCACTTAATTATTATTAAATTTGTCAGATTTCATAATTTTAGTGTTTCGGTAATTTCCATTTGGCCTTCCGAATGATTTCAACGTACAATACTATTTGAGTTGTAGTTGCCATCTATACTGAGCACTACTCTGTTAGAAATGCCTATGGAAGGAAGAAATCTTCTACTCCACAACCGTATTCTATCAACAGCCTTTCTCACTAGTTCACTGAGATGAAGAAAGACGGTCAATATCTATCTACCAATGTCACTTCCATACGGAAACGTTTGTTCTGCTTAACACTTTCGATAAGTAATATGTAATCCTATAGAGCAGCACACTAGTTTCTCAACTCAGCTGATCCGTATGATCGTTACAAGTGAATCGGTTACCTGAATGCGAGTGAAGTCCTTCTTCTGATGTCACAGTTATTTTACACTGAGAAATCACTGAATTCATTTCTCTGCATATCTTCTGTCCATTCAAACAGGACGGTGGTAGAAAATTTCTCAATGCATTTGATCTCGAAAATATCAGTGAACCTGCTGATAAGACATCCATCATGGAATATGTAAACTCAAATAGAAGCAGACTGCGTCTTTTCCCATATTGACCTGCATATCCCATCCATTATATCAACTATTAGCCTGTTCACTGCACAAAGTCTGACTACTTTGTGTCCATTGCAATGAGCTTACCTGTCGTCCATGCAAATATAGTGCAAGTTAGCAGTGAAGGGATTCACAGAATAGATTTTTTTAATTGATTCAATTAATGTGAAACTCTTTTATGCTGGACTGGCTCCATATCATCTTGGAAATTCATGAAACTCAACTGGAATTCGGTAAGAAATATCATCATTAAGACTGATAGTGGAATTTGGAGAGCTCATTCCTATTTAGCTTGTTTCACTGAGCTAGTTGCGCTTTCATCTTAATTGTTTGTGGTGTTCTCGTCACATAGATTTCAACCAAGCGGTTGTCATTTGCATTACCGAAGTGTATAGCAAATCGACTAATGAGTGCTGGGAATACTGTTAGTGTGAACATTGAATGGAGAAAATTAAATTTGTTCACTGCATTTGAAGTCATGAAAAGTGCTTGCCAATGTCAGGTGCACTTTTGTGCAATGGTTATGAAGGTCTTCGCCATCGAGTGTTTAGACGACAGAGATCTGTGTGGCCAGCACTACTGCTTGACATGAAGCCCTTCCACCTACTCATATCAATCATCAGTATGTACAAGATATCATCATTATAATGTGAACGCTGGAATTCTGAATTCAAAGATATCAATGTGTAGCAGTGATTATTGAGATTTTTTCACCACAGTGAGGTGACATTCATTGACCAGCAACTTTCCACTAGCCAAGTGACTAATTCCAGTTTTCTTCTATTCACCTGCACACCTCAGTCCATTCTTTTCAGAATTCATTCAACAGAATTCCTCTTTATTCACAGATATCATTATATATCTGCATTTGAATCTGGTTTACTTTTTCACATGTTGACTGAGTCATCTACCATATGGACTCATGGAAATGACTCCGTCTTGAAGAATGACATTGATTTTAGTTCGGAAGAAGTGATTCTATATTTGGCGAATAGGAAATGGCATTATTATTATTGTTATTCATTTACTCTGCTGAAATTTGTTCCAGATTTCTTCAAATTATTAGATATCGTATTCATCAGAGTGTATTTCATCGTTGAAGTGTACCTGATTGAATTCGGAGGAGAGATGTGTTCCATCAATCTATTGACGACGTTTCCGGAGTTCGCCGATTTCCCATTTTCAGTATTGACTTACCATTCTCGCATTTTCTCATTGATTTTCACACTGAACTGTTCACTTCGCTGTGGCTATTTTCTTCCTTCTTTACAGTGAGTCCTGGCATCATTCTACTCATGGTATGCGTTTGTATCCTGTCGGTGGCAGGCATCGCCTCAATCATCTACTGTGCACTACATACTGGCTTTCGTGATAATCCAACACTGATAAGACTGAAAGTATTCAGTCGACAGAAAACACCTTATACATCTTTCTCTAATGAGAATCTATGAGCGCGAGGATGTGAAACATTTCAACATTTATAAACTGTGTGTTATTATTTCGTTGTAAATATTTGACTCGATTTGATTTTTTTTTGAAGCTTTGAAGAGGAACTACCTTGTTTTTTGTCAGTTTATTGTGAATTTGCTTATTTTCATCATGTAATAAAGTTTCTTTTGTTTGTCGAGAATGTTTTGTTGAACTTCAACGATTATTCATCGAGTTCTTCTTAGTAAAATTTGTGGATGATTCGTTTCACAATGAATTGTTTTTCAATACGAACTGTGTGACATCAGATGACGGTTTAATCTTGGATAGGCTGTTGCATTTGAGCAAGAAGGAGAGAAATACCGAGTGATAAGCTTTCTGGTACTAGAACAAACAACTCTTACCCCGATTCACCATAATGTTTTGGTTTCTGAACGCTGAGTAGTGTCAAGCAGGATGAGTCATTCTGTATAATCATATAATGAACTGTCACTTGCAATCACTTCCTAATACCTGAATGGTCAGTGTGATATATATTTGTAAGTGTAGCCTATATCGGCAGAACAGCAGTGAGCTAGAGGACAACAGATAGGGAGATAGAGGGAGAGAGAAGACTGAAATCTGTTATTCGTACTCGGCTGAATCATTTGTGCTGTGAGCCTTCAATGATCAGAGTGAGAAACAGCAGTGGAAACAGTTGAAGATCACAGTCAATTTTTAATTTTGATTTGTCGACTCAGTGGAAAAAGAAGTGATGGTAGATATTCCGTAATCAGTGCTAAGAGATGTCTGTTAAGTCGACTATAGGATGTGACATGAAGACGTCTGAATATTCAGTCAAATGAGTGCCTCCCTATCGTGAATATCTTAAAGTGACATATACGCAATATAATTAACTTAAGTTGCTAATGGGATAACAATATGTGGTACACCTGACTCTCTATTTCACAGGACAAAGCACTACCGACATAATATAAGGAGAGGAGGATGAATTTTTGTTTGGTTTCTTCACAAGCTGACATCAGTCAGACAGCCACATAGCACGAAACGGGTATTTTGTTCTAATTTGAAAATTTGATGTATTCCACATCCATTATCTCACTGAACAGATGAATTCAGGATATCCACGAGTTCATTAGCTGATAGGTTCGAAGCTCTTTGAATACGCTAACTACTACATCCATCATTTAATGTCATTGCCAAGTTTCTGTTGTCATAACTGACCTGCTTCACATCAATGATTCTAGTCAGCACTGTAGGCATTCCCCGATGATGAGTGCAATGTAGAATGAAATAACTGTTCAGTTGTCGTCGACTTTCAGTGATTTTGTCTACAGTGTCAATTTGTGATTGAATCTGCATTGAAACTAATTTTAATCCCTGCAGAATTTAAGGTCATATATCATAAAATGTGGTATATGTGGGGATGAGATATCAGATCAGTTTTGCCTCAGAATTTTGACTACTGAGATCACTTTTGATAACGAATCATTGGCGCATGGGGTGGCGAGGGGTTGGACAATTAATAAAATGTCTAGGACATTCTATTATTGTAGAGGCACTGAAATCATACTGCTCCCAAATGAACTGATGACACACACTGAAGCGGTTAAACCAGTATAACTTGTTCAATCCAAATAGAATCATCGGGGGATATAAATGATGCAGGTAAACGTGGTATTTTCTCACGTGATAAAAGCATATTATCCTTTGTAGTCTGCGCATCTATCCACATCTAATATACTTTCATGTTGTTCAACTGATATGTATACGCTATAGGTTATTGTGATCAGATTTCATATAAGATTTCTCAATTTCAGAGTTCGAATCATCATAGTATGTCTTTTCTTCAAAGATAATGCTTCCAACAAAGCTAAGTGACAACCAAAAAGACTAAGATTATAATATTTGAATAAAGCGAGAATTACAATTTTTGCAGAATAAAGTGGTAACATCTTTTATTTCATTGCCTTCTCATCATCTGCTTGCAGGCCCTAGTCATTATTAAGTACATCTACATAAACAATTTTAACATACTTGCACAGAGTTCATTTTAAACAAAAATCAATCAATATTTGCATTATTATTATTATTTTTATTATTATTATTGCATCCTTTAATTCCTAGAGGAACATAGGGCTTCAGCCATGCGTCTCCATTGCGTTCAGTTCTCTGCTTGAGTCTTCACCTGGCTCCATGTCTGTACACACGTTTTCATCTCCTCTTCACATGACCTCCTCCAAGTCACCCTTGCACTGACGACCAACTCGCCGCTTCCCTTTCGGGTTCCAATGGCTTGTCTAGTGATATCACTTGATGGTTTCCTCAGAGTATGGCCAATCCATCTCCATTTCCTCCTGCCAATTTGTTTCATCGATTCCTGGTTGGTTCGCTCCCAGAGATCCATCCCTGTTGCTGGTCTTTTCTGGACATCTGATCTTGAGTATTGAGCGAAGACAACTGTTAATGAAGGTCTGTAGTTTGTTTGAGATGCTCTTTATGACGCGCAGTGCAAGTCTCTGATCCGTAGAGTAGCACTGACTTCACATTGGAGTTGAAAATCCGGATCTTATTTTTGATGCTTAGTGTTGTTGACCTCCACACAGACTTGAGAGTAATGAAAGCTTGTCTTGCTTTTCCGATTCTTGCTTTGATATCCTCGTCAGTTCCGCCTGTAGTTGAAATGATGCTTCCCAGGTAGGTAGGTGAAGGAGGTTGTTTCTTTCAGGTTCCTTCCATTTATACTGATTGTTGTCTGTTGTTGTTGTTGCTGTTGGTGGTGTTGCCCAGGAATTTTCATCACCTCTGTTTTATCTATGTTCACCTGGAGTCCTATCTTTGATGCTTCTTCTGCTAACTTGCTTTTCGCTTGCATATCTTCCAGTTTGTGGGAAATCAGACATATATCATCGGCGAAGTCCATATCCTCCAAGTTTTTTGTGTTTGTCCATTTTATGCCTGTTTCCTCATTGCCCACTGTTTGTCGCATTATCCAGTCTACTGCAATCAAGAAAATCATTGGCGATAGTAGGCAGCCTTGAATATTTGCATACAGTAATAACAATAATATATATATATTTGTAATATTAAACACTACTCTGAACAACAGTGATCATACACAATGGAAACCTCCGGCATTACGTATTCAGATGAAGGAGAGATGAAAATATCCAGTTACGAGGGCAAAGAAAGACTGATAACTGTTTCTTTCTGAACACACAAATCAGGTTTCAGGCGTTTGATGGAGATGGTTTCAGCAAACTTGAGGAGAATTGCGCTCTTTTGCTTATTGATAATTTTGAACGATTTTGCGACGTCCACCTTATGACCCGTGTCAAGATGGTATCACTTTATTCTGCAAAAACTGTAGTTCTCGCTTTATTCAAATTCAATAAGGAGAATTAATATATGAAAGATTATAATAGTTAGCTAATAATGGCCAATGATTACAAACCAAACCATTCCAGCTGAACTTTGTTCCTGAAGTGAGACATCCTTGTGCCAGCCGCTCTACATGATTGTACATGGTTTGGAATATTTAAAATCCTCATTCGAGATTTAATGTCAGTACTAATAATAGGCGAGATATGATATCTTTGAAGAAGATGACGGTGTTAGATGTCCTGTTGATATGAAAACCTTTCAGAATAATTACATCCGGAATCTTCTAAGTGCATTTGCGTTGTATATAAAAAAAATCATTGTCATCAGTTAATGGTATGTTGTGTATTCCTTGATAGGTGGATGAATTCATCAAGACTGGCAATATGAAAGGCGAATCACGCTCAGGAAGATCAGCAACATTTGAATTGACCAGTGTGCTGGAGTAAAGTTCTGAGGTTTCAAGATGCAGAATGGACTCGAAGACTTTGAGTCTACATCATTGGTTGTAAATAAAGTACCATATTTAGTCAGTGTTTTAGTCGACCATACAGCTGACGTCGGTAATATAAATAAAACAATTTACAAAACACTGAGCTTTTGGTCAGTTTAAGTGTTGAGTTAATTCACTTCGAAATTAGGAAAACAGTCTTCTCCACAATATGAATTATCATTATTTTATTAACACAAGTAGCAGTTTGATATTTGATTGTTCGAGATGAACCCATATATATTTATCGGCCTATGTTATATATTATTATGCCCTTGGGTTCCGAGTGTAAAATAGATCTTCTGCAACACATCTTCATTGTACTATTATCTTGGCAGTCTCTTTTTTCTAGCACCGCCAACCGCTTACGAGCCTTCATCTCCCCCTCACACTCTCTCCTCAGTGTCAACATCTGACTCCCAATTCGTCAATTCACATTAGGGTTCCACTCGAGCGACTGACTGGCACTTCATATCATTCACGGGTCTCTTCAAAGTGCGTTCAATGCATCTGCATTTCCTTCGGTGTGTTTGTTGGCCAGTAGGTCTCCAGTTGGTTTGTTGCCGGCCAAAGTTCCTCGTTACCTGTTCTTTCTCGTCATGTAATCTTCAGCATATAGTGAAAGATCGACACAGGTTAGTTAATTCAAACAAGAATCAATACAACAGTCATTTAACGTTTGCGTACAAGCAGTATTCATACGTAATTTTGTGGTGTTGTGCAGACGCATTGGAAGCGACCAAAACTGAAACCAAAATTCAAGTCAATATCTGTAGAGTCAGATGTGTTTATTCCTCAAATCTGGATTTAGTCGACGTTGTAGTCAGCAAATAATCCCAATGGGTAACTTTCCATCTCATTGTTAAACCTTGGGTCAATCACCAACCAGTCAGACCAGCGTATTGTTCACCTATCTAGCCGACTCTTAATGTGGTGAAAAATGTACAAATATGATGCGGTTTTCCCCAATGAATATAGTCCGTTACCAATTCTTTTATCCTCTCCCACCGCAACATCAAACATGAGCACGTTGATAAAATCTATGTTAACGAAGGAATAATTGTGAATATGTTAAGTGCCAAGACGGTTATTCTATGATTTCCTCCCCCTCTCTCAGTTAGGGAAGAACTGGCTAACCACCCTCGTTATACAAGTCCGATCACTTTACTACCATTTCTTTCTATCCACCCTGCTATAGTCGCATCTTATCTCATCTTTCTTAAAATTCATTTTTAATTCAACTTCATTTTGTAATGTAGCATTACTTAATCCTATGTATGGCGTCTGATCAAGATTTTATCAAACACATCCGGAGTAATTTGGCGCC